GCACGTCCTTTTTTTTTCCCTCGCCGCTACTTGGGCCCTAACTGACAGACTTGTGTGTGTTTCACTGTGTGCTGCTAATGGTTCAGGTTGAATTATTAACCACATCACTCAAAAATCTGGCACTCTTAACTCAGAAACGCTCCTGATGGGACTTTTGAGCATTTTCAATAAAGTACCAACCAGGGGTGAACACTTTTGAAAAATAATCTAATTGCATTTTCTCCCCCAGACTTGAATTTATATTATCCTGACACCACAGGAGGACTTTCTGTTTAAATGTCTTATGTCTAATATTATCCCGTTGCTGAAATCTTGGCGTTACGTCAAATTCATGGTCAAATTTGTTAAATACGATGTCATTCATTTGATAGTTTACGATATAATATGAAAGGCAGGTGGCGCTAATGTCGTAAATGTGCCAAAAGTTATTGTGGCGGCCATTTGCTTGGATCGGAGTAACTTGTCATCATAACATGACTAACGGTGATTTGCCCGCAAAAAAAAAACCAAAAAACAAAAAAAACAAAAAAAAAACAATCCAAGGAATTAACACCACTTTAATACAGCAGCTTAACCGTTTTGTATTTAGATACTATTTGCCATTTAACTGCTTGTCTTGATCTTAGACCAGTTTAACCTCACGGTTCCCTCTCTGCGACATTCTCGCTTATGCTGCGTCACTGCATTTCAGAAGTTTGGCAGCAACCAATCGAAGCCCGAGTTTACCGTTGACTTGCGCGGGGGATCCGTGGAATGGGCTTCCAAGGACAAGTCCAGCAAGAAGCATGTCATTGAGGTATCGAACATAGAGACAGTCTGGCCCAAAATATATACTGTACACGACTCCCAAAAAGTTAGTCAGATGGCACTTTCAGGTGAAATTTAAAACTTAAAATGCACGATAAACTTGAACCGGTAAATTTAATGTGACCTTCCAGCTATTCAACTATTCCATGTTTCATTAATGTCTTCACAACGTGTTGGAGCAGAATGACAAAATTGACAACAGGTCAAAGTTATTGTGCATTTTATGCTAAAGTTTCACCCAAAAGCCAAATATCTCCGAACGTTTCGGGAATATTGCTCCTCTGACGTCCAACCTTTGGATTCCTTAGCTGAAGACGCGTCAGGGGACAGAACTGCTGATCCAGTCTGAGATTGATAGCGTCATCAATGACTGGTACCGGGCCCTGACCGAGACCATTAACACATACGTAAGTCGACTTAGTCAGACTGGCGGATGTGTGTCACCAGCCTTACTGCATCGAAAAAAAAAAAAATGGCTCGTGTCCAGGCGTGGGAGTCGGATGAGGCCATCGAAGAGGATATGCCGGACTCTCCGGGAGCTGAGAAACAGGACAAAGAGAAAGATCAGCGAGAGTCGAAGAAGAACAGAGGTGAGACCAGCCGCTCACATCCTTCCGGTAACTGAACGTTGCTTCCGTTGTTTTGTAGTCTTGAACTATGCATGCACAATCCACATTTTTTTTTGTTGTTGCTGTTTTTAGTTGTGATGAAGACCTCTGTCAGTATGGACTCATCAGACCAGAAAAAAACCCGGCTGAAGCTCAAGAAGTTCTTGACGCGTCGACCCACCTATCAGGCGGTCCGAGACAAAGGCTACATCAAAGGTAGCCTGACCACCGGAGCTCTGCGGCAAGATGGCGTTTGAACGACGCGTTCCACTCGACGCGAGGGAGGAGTTGAGTTTAACAATGTCATTTTTCCTGTTCACTCTTCAGATCAGGTTTTTGGCTGCAGTCTGAGCAACCTGTGCCAGCGGGAGAACACATCCGTGCCCAAATTTGTGAAAATGTGCATCGACCATGTGGAGAACACAGGTAGGAGTCAGCTCATCACCCGCTCTATGTCTATTGAAATAATGGACATTCCTGACAGGTACATCGGAATCCATGATTTATCGAATATCATGACACAAACTTCAAGGATTGAACATGGGCCAAGAGAAATGCTCCCAGTGGAGTTAGAATAGATTCCATCAATCACGTCTTTGTCATCATCTTTGTCCTTTAGGTCTCAGTATCGATGGCTTGTATCGAGTGAGCGGGAACCTGGCAGTGATACAGAAGCTCCGCTTTGCCGTGAACCATGGTAGGACACGCTCGCTCCAAAATCTACACTCACTTGTACACTTTTTTTTTTTGGTGCACCTACACATGATTGGTCTTTTTCTTGACAATAACGTAGATGTAAATACATTTTGTTTTCAGAATTAATATACGTTCATTGTTTTAGATCTACGAATTTGGGCATCGACAAACTAGTGTTCAGTTAGTGTAGTTCTAATCAGTAACCAGCAGATGGTGCAATTGTTTCACAGCCAGCTAGTTTGCTCAATCCCAATTCATTTTGGTGCAGAACCATTTTAAATTATATATAATAATAAATCAATTATATATGTCCCAAATGATATATGTCCAGCATGTTGTAGATGACGCCAACACACCTGATTCCGATACCTTGCCCTATTTTCTCCCCCTGCATCAGACGAGAAGGTGGAACTGGATGACAGCAAGTGGGAGGACATCCACGTCACGACAGGAGCACTCAAGATGTTCTTCCGGGAACTTCCAGAGCCTCTATTTACTTACGGATCCTTCAATGACTTTGTTAATGCAATTAGTGAGTAACTTGGACGACTGACCTCACCGTTTTGAGTCCACTCGAAATGATTGATGTGTCCAATGTGGCCACGAGGTGGCGCCGTACGCATGTGAAGTCCCTGAATGGCTGCCTGTCTTTTTGCTTCAGAATGTTCTGACTACAAGCAGAGAGTCAATTCAATCAAAGACTTGATCAAGAAGTTGCCAAAACCTAACCACGACACAATGCAAGTCCTCTTCAAACACCTGCGGAGGTAAGATGTTTTCATTCGTCCTATACAACCTGTGAACCCACTTCATGGGCTCATTCTGACAAATTAAGAAACGGTGTCCTTTGTAGTATTCTTTTGCTACTTGCAAAACAGCTGCTGCACAAGCGTACAACGCAGGATACAGCTTTGGTTTTGTTATCGTCTGAAATGTAGACGCGAGTTGCAAGCCTCCATATCCTCCATTCGAGTCTCTTGGGCAGGCCTGCAAAAACTTTTGGTCATGTGACTGCCTGACATTGATTGATTGGTGAATGGAGTCAAATCTCACAAGGAAGTCTCGTTGATGAGCCAAAGCCAAATTAAATAAATAAATGTTGAGAGCAGAATCTTGATACATATAATGGAATAAAAGTATCGTTTCTTCTTCAGCTAAATACGCAAGTAAAAAAAAAAAAATAACGCATTACTACCCACCTCTGCTCACTCATGTTTTTTCCACTTTTGGCTCGCTAGTATTGAATTAAACCAAAACCGTGCTGCACGAGTAGCAGAAAACGAGGCCTAACTAGTAACCGCCTGGCCCTTACTTGTATCAGCAAAATGAAATGTATAATATTATAATCCTCTTTTATATTGCAGTGGCAGCTTCCTTTCGAATTTGGAGCTCAATTAAACTTTCTCGCATCATTTCTTGTTTGAACTGAAGCAAATCGCAACCTGACGAAGGGGAAAAAAAGAACAATACTGATGAAATCAGAACGTCATGAGTTAGTCTGAAGTACGTCTCAAGTTAACAGTAGGTTATCTGATTAGCTTGTTAAACTGCAGTGTGAATTTGAAAGAGGTTACGCATAAACACTTTTTTTTTCCCCTACCCACCAGCAGCGGCATCATATGTTCTCAGTGACATTTGCCGAGCTTTCCCATTTGCATTTATATGGCACTGCATTTGCTGTAATTTAGTACCAACGAAGTGGCGAAATTTACAGCGTGACATTCAGTGTATGGAGGACTGCGTTATATCAAGCGGGCGGATTTGATCTTATTTTCTCTCCTCCATAAATATGTTATTGTTTTGTGCATCTGCACGGAAAGGATGTAGCTTCTATTTAAAACCGCTATTATTGCTCTACTCTCGCCCGGAGCGTCAGCGGTGTTCCTAGGCTTGTCTTGGCGCTCCATCTTGAGCCTCGCTGATGCGTTTTGAGACTGTAGGAGTGCTTGTAATCTTGTTTTTGTAGATGAAACCCCCGAAGCTGTGAATCGGTAGGTAAACGAAACCCTGACCGGTCTCCTCCCTCTCCCGCACAGGGTGATCGACCACGGTGAAGCCAACCGCATGACCACCCAGAGCGTGGCCATCGTTTTTGGCCCTACGCTCCTCCGGCCCGAAACGGAGACGGGCAACATAGCGGTCCACATGGTCTACCAGAACCAGATAGTAGAGCTCATACTGCTGGAGTTCGAAAGCATCTTTGGCAGGTAGACGCAAAGGGGCTCCAGACTTTTTGCCTCTTCTTTTTTTTTTTTTCTTCTGTTTTTGTTTTTGATTGAACTCAGTGTTGCCGCGGACCTGGCAGCTGTGAAGGCCAACTCCTCATTGACACGACCGTTTACACATGCATGACAAGGCATTGCACTTACCAGTTCTGGAGATGAATTTCAAGGGGCAACGGGCCCCCTCCACCTTTCCGGCTGCCGTTCCTTTGCAAACGGGCGGCAACCTTACAGTTGACCTCTCGTGATTTGGTGAATTTGAGTCTTTCGGGGTTGGGTTTTTTTTTTTTGTTTTATTTTTTTTTAGGTGCCGCAGTCACTGAAAAAAAAAAAGACAAACGAAACGAGGAGGCTCCCGTGCATTTCCTGTCTCGGTGATAAAAGCTTGCCGTGAATGGTCGATGGAGACCATAAACGTGAAAGACACAAAGGTGAGTCTGCCGTTGGACTTCAATCAACTCTAAAGCTTCAGCTCCCTCTCTGCCTTAATTACATAATTGAATTAATCTACTCAACACTAATATCTCGGTTATTGAGCGCAGTGATTAAGCTTTCTTGTCGCAATCAATTATTTTCCTAGCCGTTAATTATGAAAAGCACTTTAGTATATTTCTTGGTATTTCTGAAATGTATGGCAACCTCTGCCGCTCCGCTTCCATTAATGTCCCCGCTTTTGTCATTCCTCCGCGGGTCATACGTGGCTGCCGACCTGAAGGCTGCGGATTAATTGATGACTAATTAGGAAATTGCCAGTCTGCCAGCTTTGATTAAGAAGCCCGCATCTTTGGAGTGCTGAGCAAAGCTGCCTGCTATGAGGCCCTTTGGAGAAAAGCTTTCACTTTGCTTTTGTATTGGCTTTGCGTGCTGGAGTGAAGACTGCTTGCCTTCTTGTATATTCACTATACAGTAATTTAAAAAAAAAAAAGTGGGAACAACAACCATTGATTATGCTACAAAACTCGGTCCTGTTTGTCATTTTGCAGCATGATGTGGTACCACGCTGAAGGTGTGCAACTCTAAAATCGGTCAAAACTCATGAATCATTAATTATTTGTATGTGTGTCATAGAAGAATCACTACTCTCTTTTGGAGCTTTCAGACAATGTATCCTGTGGCACCGGTGAGGAAGAAGGGGGAAAAAAAAAACACATCACGCAGAAGCAAGTGAAAAGCAAGAAACGGTAAGGCCCTTCTTCTTCAAAAAGCAACCGTAACTGTCTCAGATAAATAAATAGATGGCATGAAGAGGAACCATTATCCGTCACGGCGCGCTGATACACTCCAGCTTTCTATTTATTGCCTACTTAATGGACTTGATTGCGTTACTGGCGGTAAGAAAGGGAAAGAAATCCACTGGCGGCGAGGAGGGTACTCTCGGCGCCTCGCAATTACCTTATGTAAATCCTGTCGTGGAATGTTGATCCACCGCTATTTCAAATGCATTGGATTTCCATAGGAAATGATCCACTCCTGCCGCCTGAAGCTCATTAATAACGAGGAGGTAGGCGGACGTTTGGTGTCCCTTACATGCGACGGCATGCGTGCAACGACGCAGCCTGTGCGGTCGTTTGACATGCGCTGGAGCCTGACTGCACCATTGGGAAGAAATATGGCAGTGGCGCTTCAGTCAATCGGTGACTCGCGCAGCGAGAACGCGGACGACAGACCCTCGACTCAAAATGCGACACTCAAGCTGACATCAAAGCCACTCGTACAAGATTCAATATTAAACAGTAGATACCGCATGCTTGTCTGGCCTAGACTTAATATGCCCGTCAGTCTGAGTTTGATTGTTTGGCTGAAGATCTAACTTATCGGCCCAAAATCAAATGTCTCTCATGCAAATGGTTGCCTAAAAACCTGATACACACACAAACTCACTGGCACCAAAACCCCACTCTCACGTAAAACCTCTCACGCTCATCCCCCCCAAAAAACTAAAACACAAAAACTCAACTCAACACAAAAATCTCTCAGGCCAAATAAACCTCTCAAACTCACCTCACACACACAAAAAAAACAAAACCTTCATACACAATTAAAACAAAGAAACACTTTTAGCCCCCCCAAAAATAAGCAAAAAAACTCCAAAAATGGTCACTGTCACCCAAAAAAACTTTCACCAACACACCAAACACCAAAACACCCTCACAAATACTAAAATCCTCTTCCTCACCCCAAAAAACACTCATTTACCCAAAACTCTCACACTCAGCAAAAAAAATCCACATTCAGCAACTTAAAATCTCGCACACACACACACACACAACCCCCCCCCCAAAAAAACCCTCTCTTAATCTCACGTGAAGTCCCTGAATGGCTGCCTGTCTTTTTGCTTCAGAATGTTCTGACTACAAGCAGAGAGTCAATTCAATCAAAGACTTGATCAAGAAGTTGCCAAAACCTAACCACGACACAATGCAAGTCCTCTTCAAACACCTGCGGAGGTAAGATGTTTTCATTCGTCCTATACATCCTGTGAACCCACTTCATGGGCTCATTCTGACAAATTAAGAAACGGTGTCCTTTGTAGTATTCTTTTGCTACTTGCAAAACAGCTGCTGCACAAGCGTACAACGCAGGATACAGCTTTGGTTTTGTTATCGTCTGAAATGTAGACGCGAGTTGCAAGCCTCCATATCCTCCATTCGAGTCTCTTGGGCAGGCCTGCAAAAACTTTTGGTCATGTGACTGCCTGACATTGATTGATTGGTGAATGGAGTCAAATCTCACAAGGAAGTCTCGTTGATGAGCCAAAGCCAAATTAAATAAATAAATGTTGAGAGCAGAATCTTGATACATATAATGGAATAAAAGTATCGTTTCTTCTTCAGCTAAATACGCAAGTTAAAAAAAAAAAATAACGCATTACTACCCACCTCTGCTCACTCATGTTTTTTCCACTTTTGGCTCGCTAGTATTGAATTAAACCAAAACCGTGCTGCACGAGTAGCAGAAAACGAGGCCTAACTAGTAACCGCCTGGCCCTTACTTGTATCAGCAAAATGAAATGTATAATATTATAATCCTCTTTTATATTGCAGTGGCAGCTTCCTTTCGAATTTGGAGCTCAATTAAACTTTCTCGCATCATTTCTTGTTTGAACTGAAGCAAATCGCAACCTGACGAAGGGGAAAAAAAGAACAATACTGATGAAATCAGAACGTCATGAGTTAGTCTGAAGTACGTCTCAAGTTAACAGTAGGTTATCTGATTAGCTTGTTAAACTGCAGTGTGAATTTGAAAGAGGTTACGCATAAACACTTTTTTTTTCCCCTACCCACCAGCAGCGGCATCATATGTTCTCAGTGACATTTGCCGAGCTTTCCCATTTGCATTTATATGGCACTGCATTTGCTGTAATTTAGTACCAACGAAGTGGCGAAATTTACAGCGTGACATTCAGTGTATGGAGGACTGCGTTATATCAAGCGGGCGGATTTGATCTTATTTTCTCTCCTCCATAAATATGTTATTGTTTTGTGCATCTGCACGGAAAGGATGTAGCTTCTATTTAAAACCGCTATTATTGCTCTACTCTCGCCCGGAGCGTCAGCGGTGTTCCTAGGCTTGTCTTGGCGCTCCATCTTGAGCCTCGCTGATGCGTTTTGAGACTGTAGGAGTGCTTGTAATCTTGTTTTTGTAGATGAAACCCCCGAAGCTGTGAATCGGTAGGTAAACGAAACCCTGACCGGTCTCCTCCCTCTCCCGCGCAGGGTGATCGACCACGGTGAAGCCAACCGCATGACCACCCAGAGCGTGGCCATCGTTTTCGGCCCTACGCTCCTCCGGCCCGAAACGGAGACGGGCAACATAGCGGTCCACATGGTCTACCAGAACCAGATAGTAGAGCTCATACTGCTGGAGTTCGAAAGCATCTTTGGCAGGTAGACGCAAAGGGGCTCCAGACTTTTTGCCTCTTCTTTTTTTTTTTTTCTTCTGTTTTTGTTTTTGATTGAACTCAGTGTTGCCGCGGACCTGGCAGCTGTGAAGGCCAACTCCTCATTGACACGACCGTTTACACATGCATGACAAGGCATTGCACTTACCAGTTCTGGAGATGAATTTCAAGGGGCAACGGGCCCCCTCCACCTTTCCGGCTGCCGTTCCTTTGCAAACGGGCGGCAACCTTACAGTTGACCTCTCGTGATTTGGTGAATTTGAGTCTTTCGGGGTTGGGTTTTTTTTTTTTGTTTTATTTTTTTTTAGGTGCCGCAGTCACTGAATCCTATAAAACCTCCTTGTGTTGGGGAGCGTTCAGGGATGCTGCTCCGGTGGCGTTAAAGGCAGACGCAAACCTCATGATGTTGCCTGAAATGTGTTGGTCTTCTGTGTTGTGGCGCTTCGTCTGTGACGCCAGTTATGCCATAATCAGTGTTGTGTTAATGGGCTGATGTTTTCTTTTGTTGTTGTTGTTGTTATTGTTGTTTCTGTTTTTATTTTATCTTAATTTTTTTTTTTGTTGCACTTGGATGAACTGGAGCAGTGTTTCACATTGTGCCCCCATTTCCCCCACCCGGTACCACTCACCCTTTAAGTGTTAACCCGATGGAGGGATAAAACAGTGTTTGTTGTTGGGAGTGAATTAAAACCTGCACAGAAGCATCTTTCGTCTTGCCACTTTGTACAGCGATGTGTCGTGTCTTGGTGTCAACGTGCTTCAGTACAGTCTGCGCAGTCTGTACTCCTTTACAAAGTCAAATGTGCGAGTTTGGTTCGTCCTGTGGCAGGATGCATCTCCGAGGTCCCGCGCTCGCTTTGGAGCCACGGTTGCAACGTTGCGTTGTGCGGTGATGAAGCTCCGCTAAGCTAATGATGACGTATTCCGACAGCGGGGACGATACAAGGAGTGTTTCATGGTCTGATGTATGGCCTGTGAGGTGAAAGCCTTTCAAGCCATTTCGGAGCTCATTGACTCTGACAGAAGCGAGTTGTTACCAAATGTTCCAGTGACTTGGCTTTGTGTGTAGAGTTGATTTTCCGGTTTGTACATTTGAATTAAAATATGACAAAATGCAGGTTGTGAAAAAGAAGAAGAAAAAAAAAAAGACTGTTCCTGCAGTGTTTACGTGTGATCAGCTGCACATTTGAATGTAATTTTTCAGGCTAACTGCTGTTTGTGAAATTGCTCTGTCTAATAAAAAAAAAAAAAAAAAAAAAAAAAAAAAAAAAAAAAAAAAGACAAACTATCTCGGTTATTGAGCGCAGTGATTAAGCTTTCTTGTCGCAATCAATTATTTTCCTAGCCGTTAATTATGAAAAGCACTTTAGTATATTTCTTGGTATTTCTGAAATGTATGGCAACCTCTGCCGCTCCGCTTCCATTAATGTCCCCGCTTTTGTCATTCCTCCGCGGGTCATACGTGGCTGCCGACCTGAAGGCTGCGGATTAATTGATGACTAATTAGGAAATTGCCAGTCTGCCAGCTTTGATTAAGAAGCCCGCATCTTTGGAGTGCTGAGCAAAGCTGCCTGCTATGAGGCCCTTTGGAGAAAAGCTTTCACTTTGCTTTTGTATTGGCTTTGCGTGCTGGAGTGAAGACTGCTTGCCTTCTTGTATATTCACTATACAGTAATTTAAAAAAAAAAAAGTGGGAACAACAACCATTGATTATGCTACAAAACTCGGTCCTGTTTGTCATTTTGCAGCATGATGTGGTACCACGCTGAAGGTGTGCAACTCTAAAATCGGTCAAAACTCATGAATCATTAATTATTTGTATGTGTGTCATAGAAGAATCACTACTCTCTTTTGGAGCTTTCAGACAATGTATCCTGTGGCACCGGTGAGGAAGAAGGGGGAAAAAAAAAACACATCACGCAGAAGCAAGTGAAAAGCAAGAAACGGTAAGGCCCTTCTTCTTCAAAAAGCAACCGTAACTGTCTCAGATAAATAAATAGATGGCATGAAGAGGAACCATTATCCGTCACGGCGCGCTGATACACTCCAGCTTTCTATTTATTGCCTACTTAATGGACTTGATTGCGTTACTGGCGGTAAGAAAGGGAAAGAAATCCACTGGCGGCGAGGAGGGTACTCTCGGCGCCTCGCAATTACCTTATGTAAATCCTGTCGTGGAATGTTGATCCACCGCTATTTCAAATGCATTGGATTTCCATAGGAAATGATCCACTCCTGCCGCCTGAAGCTCATTAATAACGAGGAGGTAGGCGGACGTTTGGTGTCCCTTACATGCGACGGCATGCGTGCAACGACGCAGCCTGTACGGTCGTTTGACATGCGCTCGAGCCTGACCGCACCATTGGGAAGAAATATGGCAGTGGCGCTTCAGTCAATCGGTGACTCGCGCAGCGGGGACGCGGACGACAGACCCTCGACTCCAAATGCGACCCTCAAGCTGACATCAAAGCCACTCGTACAAGATTCAATATTAAACAGTAGATACCGCATGCTTGTCTGGCCTAGACTTAATATGCCCGTCAGTCTGAGTTTGATTGTTTGGCTGAAGATCTAACTTATCGGCCCAAAATCAAATGTCTCTCATGCAAATGGTTGCCTAAAAACCTGATACACACACAAACTCACTGGCACCAAAACCCCACTCTCACGTAAAACCTCTCACGCTCATCCCCCCCAAAAAACTAAAACACAAAAGCTCAACTCAACACAAAAATCTCTCAGGCCAAATAAACCTCTCAAACTCACCTCACACACACAAAAAAAAAAAAAACCTTCATACACAATAAAAACAAAGAAAGAACCCCACAACCATCCAAAACCTCATACATACCCCAAAAATAAACTTCCCACACTCAACAAAAAAAAAATTACCAAAACATTTTTAGCCCCCCAAAAATGAGCAAAAAAACTCCCCAAAAATGGTCACTGTCACCCAAAAAAACTTTCACCAACACACCAAACACCAAAACACCCTCACAAATACTAAAATCCTCTTCCTCACCCCAAAAAACACTCATTTACCCAAAACTCTCACACTCAGCAAAAAAAATCCACATTCAGCAACTTAAAATCTCGCACACACACACACACACAACCCCCCCCCCAAAAAAACCCTCTCTTAATCTCACACTCACCAATAAAACTCACACGCAGCAAAAAAAACTTTTGTTCCCATTCCCAAATGGTGAGAAGTCTTCATTGTCAATCTTCCACCTTCTCCGGGATAAACCGCAGCTCTGACTCATACTTTAAAAGGTAGCGGTGAAGGTATCGAGCTCTTAATTGCTGAGCGGTTAGAATCTCCTGACCATTTTGTCTCTCCACGCGGCCACTTTGGCGAGAGCCCACCTGCAAATAAAGCAGGAGGGGAGGGGCGGAAATCACCGCGGCCATTAATTTTTCATGTCGCGTAATGGCGTGTTCACATTACCTGCTCGCACCTCAGCTCCGGCCGAGCGAGCCCAGCCAGCGCCGAGATCGGGCCGGGAAACCACCGTGAGCATATGGAGCACTTCAAACACTCTTCTCCTCCCCGCGCTCAGGCTGCGGTCGCGCCCATGAATTATAGAAATGATCTAATTGTTTTCTCGTTTGGAAATTGTGAGGGCCCTCCTTTTTGCGTCTGCAGTCGGAACGGCGGCACGGGATTCAGCGCCGCCAACCTCCGATGCGTTTGTTGATTCTGAGGCGGGCGGGGCGGCCAGGCCAAAAAGCGGCGATGATAACGGCGCATGTTTCCCCCCCTGGTGCCGAGGTTCTAATTAGGACATGTCTGATTGGAGGAAAAAGGCCGAGCGTAATTACACAGACCGCACCAATGTTGTCAGGCTGGGGAGAAGGGGGTGCCACCCCCACCCTCAAACAAATCATACCGGTATTTAATGAAAGGATCAAGCCCTGACACATGGACGTCGAGGAAGAGTTGTGATGTGGAAATCAAAGAAAGTTTTCCTTCTCCTCGCTGCAGGTAAACCTTTGAGAGGGCGGACTCGACGGCTACGCCAGCGCTCAAATAAGCTCATTGGATTTGCTCCCGTGCCAACATCTTACTTAATTAGCCGGCACACTTTTATGGGCATAAATCGCTTTTACATCGCTGCCAACGGAGCGCGCCGCAAAGTGGGTCGATCATATATTATGTTGATCCTCCTTGGCGCAGTTAAAGCCATACATTACATTTGAATTTGTCGAAGAAGCCGGAGGGCCGCTGGCATCCTTCTTCTTTGTTGTGCTGTCAGCGCTAATCTCTCCCCAGGGGTCTCGGCAGCAGCTCTCGCCTTCTCTCTTGTTGCTGCCCCCAGACTGCATGAGTAAAAGGACGCGGGGATTGAGTCGAGCCAGGAGGGCACCCACACATCTCCCCCCCTCCTCCACGGATAAACCTGCCTCCCACCTACCGCTCCCTCCAGGCCTCCACTTGGAGCGTTTATGGTAGCGTTGAACGAGCTTGCTCGACCACCTCGGGATGACGTGAAAAATACGGTGAGTCCACATATACTTGGATTGATGGCGTGAACCTGAACTTGCAAAAATGTTGCTCAAACTACAGTGATGAGGACCTGCAAGTCATTGAAACCCTTTCTAAAAAGGTTTTTGCCACAGTAGAGCGCTACTTTTGTCTCAATGAAACTCCTCAACTCACTTCCTTACACCTTGTAGTCCCTTTTGTACCAAGATGGTGGCAAGATGCTGACAAAGCATTACTTTTGTCAAAATTAAGCTCCTCAGTTCAGTTCGGCATAGTTCCTTGGCACCAAAATCACACCAGGGCATTACCTTTGTCTAAATAAAGATCAGTTCATTCCAACATTGTTCCAGGGTACCAACATGGTACCCAAGCACTGTGTTTTTTTTCTGAACAAAGCTCCACAGCTCACTTTGACATAGTTCCTTGGCAACAAAATGACACCCAAAGCACTACTTTTGTCTCAATGAAGTCCTTCAAATCATTTCAGCATAGTTGTACCAAGACGGCAATAAAACACTACCTTTGTCAACATGAAGTTCCTCACTTCACTTTAATGTTGTTCAAGGAGCTTGAGCACAAAAAAAAACAGAACATCGATCAGTTGAATTTAACTGAAGACTATAATTCGTCTGTCAGTTCGACTGTTAGTGTGAATGGTTTGTGGATATGTGCTTTGCAAGTGGTTGGCAACCTGTTCAGTCAGCTGGGCTAGGCCCCAGCTCACCTACGACCCTAATGAGGAAAAAAAAATGATGGATGGATAAATATAATACAGCATTTCGAGATCTTTGAAGTTGTTTTGATGTGAGTTCAACCGAAAGAATTCCAAGCTAGGCGCATCTCCAACACGATTGCCATCCAGCTTCCCCCCCTTGTCATCTTTGTGTTGGTCCACTAGGGGGAAGCGAAGAGCATACATTCACTTCCTTTCCATCAAAACTTGTGCTGGGCTTTGCCCCTGATTTTCCTCGGATTATCCTTCCCCAGCTGTGCCTACCCTCCCTCCTCCTTCCTCGTCAACCACCTCCACTCAGGAGCATCACAAGTAGCGCTTCTTGGCCAATGTGTTTCGAACACATTCGCACACCATTTTCTTTGCGCTCTCCACTGGTCGCATTAGCATGGAAGTCAACCTGGTGATTCATGTGTTGCCAGTTTCTTTGTTTTTGTGTTTTTTTTTTTTTCATGCCCCCTCACCCTCTGCCGCCCAGGCTAAG